GATACTGATATACTGTATTGGTTTCTTCATCAAAACCGTCAACTTTTGCAGCACAGATAATTTGTTCGCCACCATTTAAAACGTGTTTTATGTTTGGGTTCCCAAGACTATTTAACCAACTTATGGACTGTTTTGAATATTTTTCTTCCATCGGTTCATCTACGACAGCTATTGTGTTATTATAGATATACTTTGATCTATAAATAGCCATACAGACACTAGCTATCGTTAAATATTGGAAAGGATCTATATTAGCTATTTCTAGAAATTCATCCCTAAATTTTAAACACCCCTTTCTTAAAATGTCTACATCTGAGTCACAATATTCTGGAATATTCTGGATCTATATTAGCTATTTCTAGAAATTCATCCCTAAATTTTAAACACCCCTTTCTTAAAATGTCTACATCTGAGTCACAATATTCTGGAAGTTCATATCAAAAATATAATTTTCTTGAACTTTTTGTAAATACCATTCTAAAAACTTCTTCCTTGCCTCAGGTTTCATTTGATTATAATTGTAATATTTTTTATCAGGGATAGGCCCGACATAATTCTCATTTTCTTTAGTATTAAACAAATGTGGGAAGTACCCCTTCTTCAATTCAGTCAATCCAAATGTTTTTGGAAAATCACTCAGAGGACCATTGACAAAATTACCACTATCAATGATTTTCAATCCTATGGAAGGTATTTCTAATAACATGAGTTTTGTTCCATTATAAATTGTATAAGGTTTAAGAGTATTTTCAACACAATACTTTAAAATAAACTGGGAATCATAAATTTTTGCGTAATGAGCTATACAAGTATAATTTCGATGCTCTTTTGATATTAACCATTTACAAAAATCATCATTTGTTTTGAATTCATGTTTATTACCATAAAAGTCATGAACAATTACTAAATTCGGAATATGAATTCCTGTTTCTTGTTGTGCCTCATAATCGAAGAACAGGTATTTTTCTGTATAAGTACATTGAGGTAATTTTTTCTCTTCTTCCTCTCCGAAAATTTCATTTGCAAAAGGAAACGGGTTCAATATATTTAACAATTCTTGTTTATTCATTTTTCCACAATCTTTTATTTCTTCCTTCTTACCTTTTGCTCTCAGTTCATTCAGATTATAGTCTTTCACAGGTTTTACAAGCTGATCAAGGTTACCTTTGCATAAACAAACTTCTCTCTTACATTTGCCCCCTTTTTGTCTCTTCCACTGCATATAACATTTATGATTTTTTATTTCTACTTCTTTAAAACAATTTCGACATTTTTCAATTCCACATTGATGGTTTTCTTCAGAGACCGAATATTTCAAAATATTTTCTTTGCTGGTTTTATTATCTCTAAAACAGATTTTATTACAGGCTAAGCATTTGAATACAGTGTCACAAACTTCCTGATGATTATCAAAACAGTCTTGATTAAAACAATACCTGTTACAATCCTTGCAGAATATTTTATTTTTTGTTGAGTCTAAATGCTCTTCTTGAAAACATAATCTACATCTTTTTTTCTCCGGTTTGCATGTATGTTTATCTTTATGATCATAAGGTTTATTACAACTATAACAATAGTAAGACGAACCTATAAAACCAGCCATTGATGATATTACATCAAAATGATTACCATGCTTATATAAATATACTTTTATTTCTTTTTCAGGCCCTCTATAAATAACAGAGTTCAAATTTTCTGCACAAACAACATTTATCTGAATGTTTATTAACTCTTCCAAATGTTTTATATCATCCAATGTAAAACCCTCCTCATTATACTCCCCGAGTTGATTACATAGTTGATTAGTTAGATCTGTTTGTAATTTTCTTCCTTTTCTGATGTAAGTCAGATGAAGTTTTGAGAACTCCCTCTTAAATATATTCGTTATAGGTGGATTTTCCATTGGATAGGTTAGAGCCACAATTACTGCTCTTGGGCAGCATAAATTGTCTTTATTTTTTATCTGGGTAATAGAGAGTTTGGTTTGTTTAGCTTGAGCTAAATTCAGGATTTTTTCTCCTTTTCCTCCTTGGGGCATAGCAACCACCTCTATATGAAAAAGGGAAGTTGTTAGATCGAGATCTTCATTTGAAGTCAAGATTCTTGAAACGGTATCCATTAGTATTTGTACTAAATCTTGAGTTACGTTACCTCTCTGAAAGCCTGTTGAGATAGGCATACGAAGCTCGTCATTCATTATAACAATATTTATTCGATCACCTGTTCTAAAGTTGGTACGTTTTTTAGCCATTTCGATCATTTCTTCAAGAGCTCTCGTTATTAAACTTGTTTGTTCATCAGCTGTTGGCTGTGTTATTAACACGCTATCTTTAATAGAAATGGTGTAATCGCATGAATAAGCTTGATACTTTTGAATAAACCGAGATCGAGATTCTGTGATTTCGATAAGTTGGGTATCATTCCTACTACTCGGGTTTTCTATTTCAGGTTCAAAGAATGAATCATCAAAGTTAAATGCAGCATTGATAATTCTGTCAACATTTTTTATTGCATCAACTAAATCAGATTTCTTCATTTTATAATATCCTTTTATCTTTCTCTCCTTTGCGATTTTTTTCAAATATTTTACAGTTTTTGTCATGGGATCTGGTTCAATATTCAAAACGCTTAATAATTGATCTTTCTTCATTCTATAATATCCTTTTATCTTTCTCTCCTTTGCAATTCTTTTCAAATCTTTTACGGTGTTCATAATTGTTTATGTAGACAGTTTCAATTTTATTATACTATTTATTAGACAAAAATTTTTATAAAGAAAATATTTTTTCCCTCATCCTCATTTTTTCATAAATATTTTTATGTACTCTTTAAAAATTGTAATAATATGATTGAACAGTTTAAAAATAAAAAGAGATAATACTTTTTGGTTCTGGAACGACTTGACAGGTGGGTCGCATATATAAGAGGATTCAATTCATTATTTGCAGGACAACCCGGCTCTTCTATTGAGCTGAAATTAATACAAAATTATTCTCTTTCAATAATTCAAGTCTTCTTTTATGATAATTTGACTTCAGATGAGCACTGTAACTTAAAAATTTAACTATCCTACCACATTCGCACTGCTTTTCGATGAACTTTTTACTATCTATATACTTTTTCATTATTTCATTTCTACATTCTTTGCACCAGTGCTGATTTTTGTTGAATTCGATCTCTTTTTTTATTTCTTTACACTTTGAACAACGACGAAAATCATATGCATCTACTAATTTTAAAATAGTTTTGAGTTTATTAGACAACTCCATTTTTATAGTTTTATTTATATAGAAAATTTTTTAATAAGAAATTCCATATTTACTGACGCAGCAAAAAGCCTTCATAAACATAGGTATAAAAACATGAGACTGTTTAATTCCGTTGGATAATAGTTGCATCGTTATTTACACTGGGGACATTTACAGTCGTTATTTTCTTAATATTATTAAATCTAGGTCCTTTTTTAGGGTCTGATTTCATTTTTTTCAATTCATCACGTGTTAATTCCTTAGTTCCCAGTTCTGAAAACACTGGTTTAAAATCATCATGAAATTTAATATCTTTCAAGGATTTTTTCATATACTTTGATAGTTTCTTATCTTTTGAATCTACAATAATAGTCGAGAAAACTTTATTTAGTTCTTCAACCCCAGAATTATCATTATGTTTTTCAGCTTGAGATTTTATGATTTTCTTATATTTCTCCTCCCTCTCGAGTAGAGTTTCTATCAACTCCTGATTTTTAAAATTAGCATATTTATAAATATCTGAAGTCATACTTGTCTGCTGTAGAGCTATAAAGAACTGTTTCATGATAGTTTTCATATTACTGTTGATATTTTTTAATCCATTTATGGCTTCAATTATTCTCTCTAAATTCGTTTCCTCATCCCGAATCAAGTCTTCCAATTCTTTATTTTTTGAAATTATCCTGTCCAGGCCTTCTAGTTCAATTTTAGAGGGCATGTATCTTTTTATTTGGCTTTCCATTTATTAGACTAAAATTTTATACTTTTATATTGTATTGTAAAGTAAGGTATTGTAAGGTGAGGTAAGGTAAGGAAATACTGTACTGAAATATGGTAATATTGTATGGTAGTATGGTACTGTATGGTAAAGTAATAATTTTTATATAAATAAATGACTCCTAACGAGTTGATTAAAATATTAAAGGAATACAACTTCAAGGAAAATAGTGTGAGAAGTTTTTCTTTAAAATATAAAATAACTGAAAAGACTATACTAAAATATTTAAAAGAACATAATATACCTTACAATAATAGGAACCTAACTCATGAAATGACTAGAAATAGCTTAGGTCAATACACGTTTAAATACGTTGTAAGTGATGTGAAGCCTTTGGTTTCTGAAGCAAATAAAGTTACTAATAAATCTGGTAAAAATCAGAGTCTGTCTAAGAATGTTATAAGTGATAAAAATGCGATTAATTTTGTACAGAAATCGGCAAACAATCCTGCAGATATTAGTAATGAAATGATATTAAATAAAAATAATCCTAGCAGAGTAAAAAATTTGACAGAGTTTAGTGAAAAATATGGAAAGTATTTTCGAGGATCGTCAGAGTAAATTTCTTGTTCTTATACTACACGATTGAATCGTGTTGTATTAATGTGCATTGTTTGATGATCGGGTTTGTTGACTCAAATATAAATTAAACGGTGTGTAATTATTCATTCAAAGTCGTTACTTGAGATTATTTGAACTCTTTGGTAACTGAAAGAATCGTTGTTATCAAGAAGCATAAGCTAAACACAGAAAAAAATATTGTCTCTGATTTCTGTCAGCCGGATGTCTCGAAAGCGTGACTGTATAGTCTTTCGCCGGAAATGTATGAATCGTTTAGATCGACAGCAACCATTGACGTCATATTATTCCTATAATTATTTGTAACTGCCTACTGACTCATGGAAGATAAAGCTGAAAATGTTTTATCATTGTCAGCGAGGAGTGCGGACTTCTGCTTGATAAGTATTATTCTTTCATCGAGTTACTTATCACGGTGAGATTAGAGTGAAAGAGTTTGGACCCAGTTATTTATCTTAACCAGTTGTGTGAGCGCTATTCATCAGTCATGCGGTTCTACTTCGTCCTTTCCGCGTTTATTACCCTTGCAGCGGCACTGTATCAGCCGGAGCACTATGTAAGTACAAATACAATAACTGATATTTTATTTACCTATTTTATGTATATGTAATTAACTATGACTTAGAGTAAACCCAATCAAAGTCAAAACAAGTTTTATCCTCCGTTCACATTTTTAGCTCCATAGCTTTGGTACAATTCGTTATTTCATGTTTCACATCTATTTTCAAAAATATCCATTCAGGATAAATATATGTTTTCCACTATTTTTGAAGAATTTTTTTTGGTTTGACAAAGAATCGTTTCCTTTTTTTGAATAATGTAGTTGCTTTCCTTCGTTGGGTGTTTTTTTTCATCATTCTAATATTATAACTGTTGATGGTAATAACTGGCGTTGTTTTTTTTTTGAACTGGTTATTAAAAATGTGTTTCAATTTTGTTTTTTGAAGGTGCACCAAGTGCCTAGAAATTTATTGGCACAGCCGGGCGATAGTACAGACCTGATTGATTTTTTGAAAGCACAACTCAACAAGAAAGATGAACAACTCAAGCAGGAACGAGAAGAAAATAAGAAGTACATCAAGATGAATGCCGAGCAAGACGTACGAATTCAGAACTTGACAACGGAAAATATATTATGTCAAAAAGATAAGGTAAGTCGTAACGTCCATATATTCCAGCCGGTTATAGTTTTGAAGAGAGACAAATGTAAGGGAAAAATTCATCTCTTTTATAGTTCAAAAATGGTTAGGTATGAGGTATTTATGAGGCGTGGGTCTAAGCCGGAAATACCTAATTGCTTTAATGGTATTGATTCCATTTTCGTATTTCTATTCAACAAAAATTTTAAAAAGTATGTTATTTATTCAGTTATTGTGTCTGTGGTACGTAAACTTTTGCGAGAATATTGTAGCTCAAAAGGTATACGTACAAGCTGCACAAGGAAAATAAAAAAAATAAGTAAACAAAAAAAAGCAAGCAAAGACGCTAGAAAGGGCCAATCACCACACTGCTCTTATTTGGGGCACTAAAGACTAAAATAAAATTACTTTAACTTGAAAAGTTAATGTTATATGTTAACTAAGACTTTCTTTAACAATAAATGCTACCTTAATCTATACCGGAGCTTTTCAAGACGAATCTTGATAATTTTACTTTACCAAGGTTACGTATGAACGTAACCCAACGATGCTGGTCGTGGTAACGATGTAACAGCGATACGTAAACGAGAGATTTATGATGTGCCAAACGTAATGTTATCGATACGACGTTGTAGTAACGTACCCACCAACGTTAAAAAACGTTACTGCAACGTATGATCAAGCGATGTTGCTATAACATTACGAGAAAGACGTTACCACAGCGTTACCAGACGATGCGACGAGAAAATGTAAAGAGATATGTGACGTTGTTGGTGATCAGTTTAAATTTTTTATGTTTTACATTTTTGACTTCTTAACGATTTTTGTATTTATTTCATCTTGTAACAAAAAATATAATCTGATTACGTATTTCGATTCAGCCATAAGTAACGTCTTTACAACGTCAGTGGACTCCCTTTGGAAGGTTTCCAATTCCATGAAAAGGAACTCAATGGGTTGTTAGTGAATGAGATTACCTGACTTCCAAATCATGAAAAGAGTAATTGTGGAAAAGACTCTAAGAATTCGTCCAGAGAGTACTCGGTCTTATTTTTTTCATTCACGTGCAGTGCACTCAAGTCTTTGATCATTGCTTCAAAACTATTTGGAAAAATAACGTCGGACTTACTTCATTAAAGTGCGCTTCATATCCTGTTTTTTCTTTCAGGCCCAACTGTATCAAGAAACGGAGGCGATCATACTAATGTTATCAATCAGAAGTAAAATCGAAGTAACTGAGGGTATTTTTGCTCAACATTTAAAAAAAGGAGCTAAATACAATACCATTAAAGAAAAGATCACGTTTCATGAACAACTCTGCCATACGATTCTACAGGGAAAAACTGACGGAGCGATAAGAATTCAGAAATTGGTAATACGATCAGGTATAAACAAAGATACATTTTGCGAGTACTGGGGAGGATTCTTCTCGTTGGGGTCTGAACCCGCTCAAACTACAATGGTATTAGGTAAATACACTGTGAGAGACTTAAAATCCGCTTTAAAGAGGGCCAATTTTCAAGAAGACGCCAATTTTATAAAAGTGGCTGTTATAATCAAGAAAATTTAAGAAGGGTTTTAGCCACTTCTGTCAATAGTATTATTTTGATTCATTTTATGTTCGAAAGGTTATTTTTTTTAATGAATATTTACTAATTTGGAGCAGTTTTAAAATCAGTAAACATTGCAATATTAGTTTACTTTTGTAAACTTTTGTGTACTTTTGAGAAAGTGTAATGAAAAAATAAAAATACGTGTAAACATTAGTTTCTTTTTCTTTTTCGTTTTATCTCATTCAATACTTTATCACAATTATACCTTAAATACTGTTAAGACAGGTGATATGCTTGGAGAATGGACGGATGAGCTCAAGAAGGATGAATATATAAAGTTATGGGCGTCGACGGGTCCTAAAAGTTACCATTATCAAACTAACTTTGGTAAAAGTGTAACAAAAATCAAAGGGTTTACGTTGAATTATCAAAATTTAGAAAAATTGAACGGTAATACAATGATAAAACTAATAAAGGAGGGTGTATCTCAACTCAAGCAAAGATCTGTAGCCTTGACTTATAATACAATAACCCGAGAGACAAAAACTAAAAATTTAGTGAATAAATTAGAAACCAAAAAGTTCAAGTTTGAGTATGACAAGAGGATAATCTTGCAAGATTATGGTACTGTGCCATATGGTTACTGTATATAAAAAGAAAACCGAGTGGACAAGCAAGTCAATATGTTCATATGTAAATAAAAATAAAAAACTCTCAGAGTTAACTCCTCAACTCAGAGTTCCTGTAAATAAAATAAATATAGATTGGGTGGTTAACTCTGAGAGCTTGGGAACCTTTTATTACTCAAAAAGCTTTTATTCAATTTATGTATTGTTTTACTCATGATTTTTAATTTCACTTTCAACAATTCTTGACAAAACACTCAAATGAGCAACAATATTATTACCATAAGTTTTTTATATTTCATTCTCTTAGATTCAGGTAGATGTTGAATTTTATCAGAAAGTGGGTCCATTACAATTTCATATTTTGATCTTGTCCGCTCAAATGGGTTTTTGAAATACGGTATAATATTTTCAAAATCAAATTCATCTTCAATGACAAAAGAATTTCTGTAGACCTCCATTTACGTAAAATAAATTTTTGTAGCTATGGTTGAAACGAAAATTCAATATCTTGAGTGAGAGTATCTAGGAAAAATAGACTGTTGGGTGAGTGTCCCGAATGTGGATTGTTTATCGTAATTTTTAAAAGATATTATTTATTTGGTGAAATTAGTGCTGATTTTTTAATGAAAAAGAGAGTGCTGTGAATGTACCTACTCAGAACTGCAATACTTTTTGATTGATATTGCCTGAATTGGTATTGATTTCTAGGAAAAATGAGAAAGTTGAATGGGTGGGATGAGTAGACTCCTATACTTTAGAAATGCTATTTATTTAACAAAAATTGAATAGTTTAGATAGAATTTTTAATTTATTTTTATTGAACTTTTCGTTTCGTTGTCTTTCTAATTTTTTGTGAAATTAGGCTGATTTTAGAAAGAAAAATAGAGTGTTGTCAGATTTACAAAATTCTTGATTCATTCTTGTTGAAAATAGCATTGATTTTGAGAAAAGTTAGAGAGTTGAGTGGAGTGTCCTCAATGGCCGCCTATACTACTCACATGAATTCGTAGTGGTTTGTCACCTGCGTCACGGGCCCCTCCAGGGCCCGGGCCCCGGTACCAGGGACCCAGTATCCCCCCCCCTTGCGGCGGGCCTGCCTCTATTAACATTCTGGTAATGGTGGAAGTTTTCACTCTCGAGATTTCAACATTCATTGACGTAACTATTAGGTGAATGTTCAGCAACGTTTTGAGCAGTTTGTTCTGCAATCAACTACACTTGTGTAAACTCGTTTGGCATATTAGATATTCGGAAGCTCATCGTATATCAGGTAGGTAGGTTGAGAGCCGACATAAGAGTGATAACTGCTTCATAATTGTTGTTAACGAAATGTTGAATACCCAAAAGTAAGTTTCCTTCCATCATAAAAGGGTCAGTGGAGGGTCTCTTCGTGTCTCTGACCAAGACATTCTGAGGAAGAAAAACGCATAATTTATCTATAAATGAAAAAAATTAAACACTAAGAAGTGGCCCAAATTTATCTATAAATGAGTCGTGTAGTCATATACTCACCGAGCTGCTAGATCTCTGTGGACAAAGTCAACGTTCTCTAGGTATTTCATCCCTGAGGCTATTTGAGTTGCCATGTATATGAGACAGCCATAGCTAGAACAAAGAAAAGATTATCGGAGCTGATTTATAGAATCATGGACTGTAGTGCGGGAATCGCTTGTTAGACTCGATCGGAACATAGTGACAAAGTAGTTTCTACTCATGTTCACCATATGTTTATGTGTACCATAATAGTTTCTATACACTTACTTCCGTTTTACAAGTTTTCAAAAGGGAAGAAAAAAGAGCCCTGGCAAATGGTGGAATTGCTTAATTGAGTGATTCGGCGTAAAGTTCGGAATATTATAAGAATACAATATTAAAAAGAAATTCCGAAAACTTGATGGAACGAAAACCCAAAAAAATCGTAGCCTAGGCTGTAATAACTCGGTCGGTTCCAACATTTCGGAGTGGTCTCAACCCTTTTGCCGACCTTGGAAAAAATGTATACAATAATGAGATTCGAGATTGGGTTAAAGGTCTTGAGAAGTCTTCTCACTGCCATGACCAGAGACCGTTAACACCGTTTTTTAGATTTTTTTTTTTTTTAGATTTTTTAATATTTTCTTCTACGAAGATTGATAATGACCGGGAGACCGGTCGAAACGTCCCATGCATTGTAAATTATTGTGTTTTCAGCCTCGTCCCCGCCTTTCCTGTCCTATTTTATAACTATGTTCTTGGGCTGTCGTAGTGTGCATTTATCCATAATGAGATTGTGTATATACAATTGCATTAATAAGGCTTAACAGTTGATTTTTATCTACTTTAATGTATCCTTTGTTTGGTTTCTGAGTTGACAGATGAGTTCCGAGACGGTGATAGGACAAAATGTCCAAAACTAAATGTCCAGAGTAGAAAAATGGCCAATAAGAAAGAAGTCCATGAGTAAAAAATGTCCAAGTGTCTGAAATGTCCAGTAGCAGTGAAATTACCAAAATGAAAAATGCCCAAATGTCCGGTTTCTATAAGTCTATGTAGTTTAACTATACCGAGAATGTAGGTTAGGAAAACTCTGTGTCACTGCTTCTATACAATTTCTATGGATATTTCTACAGAAGCTTCCAAGCTCAGCCTCTTTGTCAAATTTTGTCACAAATGCGCATTTTTGTTTTTGGCCACAATTCTGCTACCGGACATCCCAGATATTTGGACATGTTGTAGATGTGGACTTTTTTGACTTTGGACATTTTTGTACTTTGGACTTTTATTTTTGGACATTTCGTCCCATTACCTCCGAGACAGTCCCGAAACGACCGAGGCATTTCTTTCTGCATATCAGTCGCGGTTACCCATTTAGTTTCGTCAGTCATATGGTTGCATCGTTGTTCAGCAGTGTTCACATGCTGTTCTCGTGATACTGTCAGTGTTTCCACAACATCCTTGCATATATCTTTATTTTATTCACCGCGACTTACCTCAGAACTTTGGCATTGCTAGGCACTGGTGTCGTTGTGTCAGCTACGTGTTCCTGCAGAAACTGATACAGATCACCAAATTGTGTATACTCCATAACTAGGCACAGTGGTTCATCTTCCAGGCTAGCTCCTAGAACTCTCACTAAATTAGAATCCCTCAGGGGCCATAGTAGTTTGACCTCCTCGATGAATTCAGTCCTGTAAGCACGCACATGATAAGTGGATTATTCAACAGGAGACAGCTATTTGGACCGCGTCTAGGAGAGAGGAACCAAACCGCATTCGCAACAGCCTGGGAACTTTAATTTTTGCAAGAAAAATTTTGTGCGGATTCCTCTGGAAATTTTGAGGAACTCGCTTCGTACTATGCAGAAAATTCACTGGAATTTGCAAAGAAATCCGAACGACCGTTCTCATGTAAAAAATTAAATTTCCATACTAAATTTGGCTATTTCTGATGTGGCTCGGTTCCTTTCTGCTTAACGCAGTCCATTTAGTATGCACTCCGCACTCAGTGATGATCCACTCTTGTGATTTTAATTTTCGACACTCGTTGTTTTGATCACACCTTAAAATACATAGTTTCCCTCACAAAAGAACGCAACTACGTTTTATTGTCACCAATTTTACCCTCGCAAATTGCATTTTTACAAGGAGAATCTTGAGCATCTCTGACTGAAAATTTTCGCGCTTTCTCCTCTGATCTCATGCGATAATCATAAATATTTCGGACTTTAATTGCACAGGTACATTTTTGTAAAAAATTGAATTGTTTGAGTCGATTTGAAAACTTTGGAATAGAGTTACGTTCCCTCTCCCGGGAAACGACGAACATTTTTCCTTCTTTTTTCTCTTTTCTTTCTTTTTTTTTTAACAATAATGAAATGACGAATATTATGAGCACTATATTCTAATATCTTGTTATTATAAGATAGGTGATAATTATCGACTACAAGACACGCCCGCATACTTCAAAGTTTGTTAAGTAATTGAAAATGCTCGATAATACGACAGAAAAGCTGATCCTCGTGGGAAAATCTACTCCTCGAGAAAAACCCAAAAACCATGCGTCTAATTCCCTCGTTCTTTCAACATGCTTGGACTTCCATCAGCGAGTGAATCAGCCGCTCCGTAACTCGAAAACAGGATCCTACTCGCTGTATTTCGATTTGACAGTCCGGATTCCGGAATTGTTAAGATTTTCAGAATTTTACCGGGAACTTTTGCAAAATTCCCAAAATGATCCGGATCTTTTGCATTTTCCGGAACTTTCTGGGAACTTATGAAAAAATCTAAAAGGAATCCTGGAACTTTTGACGATCACGGAGTAGGAGAATTTTGAACAAAAAAGTTCCGAATCCCGGAACGGACATGGAATGGGAGCACTATTCGATAGAACCAGATAATGCTCTGAAACTCGAAGAGCTTTTGGCGGCTTTGTTTCGATGTATTAGCCGAGTTTATGAGGGGATTAAATTAACTCACCTAGAGATGTCGGAAGCGCCTTTTCTAAGAGTCTTAACTGCTACTAGTTTACACTTCCTACATTCGTCTGGGACAGACTCGGGAAAAGAGAGGGCTTCACATAAATGAACCTGACAGAAAACGAGAAAAACATACATTAAAATACCCAAATTTGCCGTGTTTTTAGAATTATCTCCCCACCCCTCAACGCTTGGGGTCCTTATAAAAGGTTAAAAATCTCCCATTTATTTGACCCCATCCATGCTCGCAGCAACATTTTGATTGGAAAAAATGACTCTCATGTATGAATAATTTTTTCGATTTGTTAAGACACATTGCAATCATTGCATTCTCCTGCAAAGAAACTAAATATCACGAGTAATTTGTGAGTTGCCAAGTATAGAATCAAAGGTCACTTTCTACGACGAGCATTACTAGGAAAAACCACAATTTTTCGTAACTCACTGTGACCTGGTTTCTTTCTACCTAATTCCGTCATCTGATAACTCGTACATTTTTCCGCACTCGTACAGCTCAGAGCTCACTTAATGCAGACCGGAATTTTACTACGGTCATCAAATCAGCAGAAGGATTTCAATGAATTTTTTAAGACATTCTAAAAAGTAAAACTTCTCTCAAGATAGCAGTTACCTCTCCAAACTGACCGCCACCAAACCTCTCTAGGACCCTCAGATAATCCGTGGGGAATTTGGCGATTGGCTCGGTAACTAATGATCTCAGTGAGTGTCCCGAGTGAGATGATATTGACCCGGGGGATATAGGCATTTTCTGGAAAAAAAGAAGAAAAAAAGTATCCTATTGTTAGTGTAAGTGAAAATATTTCAGGTTTTGCTTCCTCCCAAGATATCTTAATCTTGGGAATTATAAACAAGTTTGGGGATAGTTATCAGAATATATTATTCTTCCCATATTTGGGAAAATCAATCACATTTGAACCGCGCTTAGTAGAAAGGAACCAAACCACATCAGCTATTGTCAAATTTATTTGGGCAATTTAATTTTTTACAAGAGGACGCTTGTTCGGACTCTTTTGAAAACTTAAAGGGGTTTGCTTCGTAATATGCAGAAAATTCACTGAAATTTGCACAAAAAATCCGCACAACCGTTTTTATGTAAAAGCTAAATTGCCTGCTTAAATCTGGCAATTGCTGATGTGGCTTGGTTCCTTTCTGCTCAACGACGTCCAATAATTATTAAACTAGACTTTGCGTGCTAATGGGTTCCCTTAGCCCGATTAAGGGTATTCTCGAATTTTTTGTAGTAAGATTATATATCGTTAATATTTTTCAATCATATTATTTCTTTATTTAAAAAAAAGAATAAATCGGGTGAATGGAAGTTTCAAAGCATAGCATTCCGTAATATTCTGATTTTATCATTTAATAGAGAACTGACCCTTGATGATTTGGTCGTGAGTATCTTGGATTCAAGTAATCTCACACCGCGTGCACTATATTTCTAGTCAAAAGTTGACCTTAATACTGCAAGCCTGTCAGTCACAGAATTTTATTTTTGAAATTTGTGTCTACTGATATTATCTTACCTGGCATATATCAGTAGTTGCGTAGAACTGCTCATTAGGCGGAGGCACGGAGGGTGGTTTGGGGAGTAAGGTTTGTAAAGATGGGGGCGGTTTGTGATTCTGTTGATACGAACTTATTTGCGGCAGCGCGTAGTCTTGGTGCCTTGAGCCAGGTAAATCTGAAATCAAAATGGTGGTTGAGGTATAACAATAGTTTGTATGGAGGTCTAGACAATTTTAATTCGATCGAAAATTTTCAATCACTGTTTGAAAGCTCTGAAAGAGAGGAAGGGTTCAAAATTTAAAAATTTGGTATTATATTATTAGTTCCCAACTTGATTGAGTATAAAAATGACACTTTGGTTTAACTTCAAATCTTGAATGAATATTTTAGTGACAATTATGAATATATAGATGATACTGTTGTTTAAATTTAAATTTTGGAATGAATATTTTAGTGACAATTATTGAAAGAGTCGTAAAATATTGTCATTAACATATTTATTCCAAAATTTAAATTTAAACAACAGTATCATCTATATGTTCATAATTGACTCTAAAATATTCACTCAAGATTCAAAGTCAGTTTTAATATGTGAAAACTATTGTTTTCACATATTTCGACGCTTGGCTGTCATGAAGACCTAACTACATATTTAGATGTGAGCAAAAACAAGTGCGACAAAAATTTATCCTTAAACGGGTTGCAGGGGATGAATCTACGGTACACGTATAAACTTTAAATCGCGGAAAATCAAAATTTTGGCTGATCCAATTTTCGACCTATCGCAATTTGAAATTTTCATGGTAAATGCATGTCTTCTACTGATTTTGATTAGCTTTTATTTATTTGTCCATTGAATCGGTGTCGATCGATGCACGTATTTATTTTTCGTTTTATTCCATCTCGATCGAACACAAACCCTCTCGTTGAGTGCAGACTTTCTATCATACTATTTTTTTAAACTGAGCAATTCGCCTTCTGCTGCGTCTATAGCAATTGTTGTTACGAATATGTTGTGCTTGTGCGTGCTGATTATAGCTCATTACATTCTCGACTCTCTGAGGACGTTTTATGTGTGATAGCTTTTCGCCTTCAGCGCAATTGCTACAGACGCAGCAAAAGGCGAATTGTTCAGTTAAAAATAATAGTATGGTAGGAAGTCTGCATCCATCGGGAGAGCATGTGTTCGATTGACATGAATCGAACGCAAAATTAAAGCGTGAATCGATCGACGCCGATTCAATGGACAAATAAATAATAATAATAAAAAAAAAACCGGACCAAAATCAGCAGAAACCTTGCATTTACCGAGAAAATTTCAAATTGTGATACCTCGAAAATCGGATCAGCCAAAATGTTGATTTTCCGCGATTTTAAGTCTACACGTGTACACCATAGATTCACTCCCTGCAACCCGTTTAAGGGTACATTTTTATCCCATTTTTTTTTCTTCTTTTTCCTTCTTCAAGACCACTGTGAGCTGATGTGGCTTGGTGCCTTGCTGCTTAACGCGGTCCATTTGGCGTTAAAAACTAGTATGAAAGCGCCCACAAAGCAAATAAAGATAATCTAACAAAATTCTCTGGTATTTCCACGTTTTGCCTGATATTTCCCGATTTTCCTGTGGGAACCCTAAGATTTTCCCCTCGGAAATTGGGCAACGCCGCAGTCGAACGTCGGGACCGGATCCGTGCGAGGCGGCTGTTCACCGAGCGCCGGAAAAACAGGGGGAACGAATTACGGCCGGCAGGTTCCCGGGATGTGGGTAACGCGAGAATTTGATTTTGAATGTTCCCCTGGAGAATTTATCGGGGCTGGCACCGACTCCGGGCCGATCCCGAGACGCTCGCAACTCAATTCACGCGTAGCATAGCAAAAACCGCGTATGAAATATCTAGGTTTACATACTACTTAAGCGGTTTTCGCTGAACTCTTTTCAAATATGCCGTGCCCAGTAAGAACCGCGTATGAAATTTAAGTTTAAACAGTAGTTAAGCGGTTTTCGCTGGACTCTATTCAAATATGCCGTACCCAGCAAGAACCGCGTATAAAATCTAAGTTTTCATAGTGGTTAAGCGGTTTTTGCTGAACTCCGTTCAAATATGCTGTGCCCAGCAAAAACCGCGTATGAAATCTAGGTTTACATACTGGTTGAGCGATCTCCGCTGAACTGTGTTCAAAATGCTGTGCCTTTAGCAAAAACCACGTAGGAAATCAAAGTTTCCATTGAACCTGGGCGATTTTCACTTAGCGGTGTTTAAATCGTCGTTTCCTCCTCGAAAGGACGTAATTACATTTCAATGTTGCCAAATTTCCATCCGCAAATTGCGTTTTTACCAGGGGAATCTTCGGCATTTCTGACTGGAAATTTCCAGAATTTGTCCTCTGATCTTATTCAAAAATTAAGAAAAAAAATTAGGAAAAAATCGAAAAGGTACATCCTTGTACAAAATTTCACTATCCAAGCCAATTCTGCAACCTTGAAATAGAGTATCGTTCCTTCGTCCGAAAAAACCACGAAATCTGCCTTGTCCAACAGAATTGCGTATGAAATCAAGGTTTCTTTTGGAAATGGGCAGTCCTCGATCAAGGTGATTCATTCTTGGTTCTGGGCATGGTCGAACTGGCGTACGATATATAGAATCGATTATAAAAAATCTTGGCAGAATTGACTTTTTACCCCCCCCCCCAAAAAAAAGACGATGGCCCTGAGAGCAGGCGTCTAATTAAATCGTTCTTAGCAAAAAAGTTGCAAAATTCGAAGAGATGAGTAGGTACAAGTTTTATCCACGAAAAACTATTGTTTTCAATACAGAAATCGATTTCTGTATCGAATGCTACGTTTTCCCAGTAGGTTGTCGGTTGAAAAGGTGGGTAGGAACGCTTACATCTAAACATTACGAAAGATATCCGCGTTCAAGAGTCGAAGCGGAACTTGCGTCAAATAAATTAAAAATGAAGGAACATGTAAAATAAAATAAAATTATTTTAAAAAATATAAATAAAACATTTAAATGGGAAACCAGCTTACCTGTATACTCAGGACTAAGAGGGAGCCTTTGAAGAACAGGTTGCGAGTACATGTTCCCGAAGGGCTCATGGTAAAGTTCGGCCTTTTCTGGATCCTCCAACGAGACCTGCCCGTAGACGCGGCCACTAGCGTTGACGCTCACTCTCATCTGCAATTCCTAATCAAAAAAACATTAAGAAAAGCGAATGAAATATAGAATTTATATCTAGAAATATATATCTAGAATATATATCTCTGGAATATTTTAGAAACACGTAAAAAATTTAGATGGAAGAAAAAATGATTGAAAAAATAAATAAAAAAGCCTAAATTTTTTGCGGTTCGAATCAACCGAGGTTTTTGATTTCTAACCTGAAATGCATCAAAAGTGTTTTCTTTCTTTTTTTCATTTTTTGGAAATCATTCCACTCGTCTTAAAATCTCTTCGAAAGGGGCAAGATACTTCTTTTTCAATAGAATACTGTAGATAAAAAAATCTGTACTTGAATTGCAGCGGTATGAATGGCCAAAGTAAGGCATCTCCATAAAATAAACAAATTCTCAATTTCTCTTACTCCTACATCTAGTTTCCCTCTTCACACACGCGATTGCGTTTTAAAAAATGTCGAACATGAATCTAACGAAGGCTATCTCCATTTAAATCTTCCGTCACATTCTTACGGCGCAATGATACAACTATTTGAACTCTCCGGAACGCGGGAGGTATAACGCCGCATTAAGAGGCGTTTTCAAAACAGCCAAAATCCGATTTCCGGATTATCGGTTTGCATAGTTCACATTCTTTTGTTATATTCTGTACCACTCGTTTAATTTTATTCCTCGTCGAAAAACCACCGATTTGCTAAATACAATTCTAGCTGGAGCGCACTTTAGCTATGCATTCACCACTGCAAAAATTTCAGAGGATATCGACAAGCCCAGCGTGCATGGAGGCTGTCTCCATTTAAATCCGCCGTCACATTCTTACGGCGCAATGATACAACTATTTGAACTCTCCGGAACGCGTGAGGTATCATGCCGCATTTGAAGGCGTTTTCAAATCAGCCAAATACCGATTTCCGGATTATCGTTTTGCATAGTTCATATTCTTTTGTTATATTCCGTGCCACTTGTTTATTTTTAATCTTCGTAGAAAAACCACCCATTTGTAAATAAAATTCTAGCTGGAGCGCACTTCAGCTATGCATTCACCACTGCAAAAATGTCAAAGGAAATCGACAAGCCCAGCTAGCATGAAGGCAGGCCCGCCACAAGGAAGGATACCTGGTCCCTGCTACCGGGGCCCGGGCCCAGGAGGGGGCCCGTGTTACCCTTGAAAAACCACCACGAATTCACATGCAACCTTTGTTTCGTAAGAAATGGTGAAAAATTTACCCTCAAAATTTCTCAAAAGGTGAATAGATTTTCAGAAACACACTGGGGCATTGTAGAAATCTTCTTAAATTTTCAAAGAAGTATACTTCTCGGAAAATATCTATGTAGTTTCAACATTTTCAGTAAAGAGGGATATTTTAAGTAACTGCATTTTATTTTCTTCCGTCGTCAGATGCTAAGAGTCTCCTGTCTGGGCATCCTCGACTTCAATGGCTCATGGCTCAAATCCCTTGCCATAGACAGACGAAGGGGGAGTCCAGGGAGGCCTGGCCCTCTTAGAACTGAAAATAGTATCATACCCCCCCCCCCCCCNAAAAAAAAAAAAAAAAAAATAAAAATTTTCCAGATTTTTTGAATGCAACAATTCGCAAGTATTTTGTTGCTGAAAGTAGAAAAAAAAAACATAATTATTCCGTGGAAATTGATGGAAAAATGCTTTATGGAAGCTTCAAAATGCGTCCGATTAGTCGTATAAATTCTAAAATTTCTCGGGGGATGCCCCTCGGACCCCCCCTCCGTGCTTGGGATCCGGGCCTTAAAACTGGTACCAGGGCCCGAGATGGGATGTGGTGGGCCTAATCTAACTTTATGTTTAAATCTTGGGTACAAACATAAACTTGTGGAAACAGATTTTCCTTTCGTCCTCTCTTTTTATTGTCTTCATATTAGGTTTTTTTTAGCATGTAATCATGTTGTTTTGATTGCATGTCCTTTTTTCTCCGGATACACTGAAAAAAAAAAAGAATCTTAAATTTGCCGCCAAGAAGTATTTCTTCTTAAATCAAGAATTTTGCTGGTTAATATAAGTTACTTTTTTGCTTAACCCAAGCATTGTTTTTCTTGAATCAAGAAAAAGTCAGCTTAAAGCAAGATAAAACAAATTCTTGGCGGCAAATTCAAGAATTATCATGCTTGATCCAAGCTACTTTTTTTTCAGTGTAGTGTTTCCCAACTTGAGCAAGCTTCTCTTACCTCACACTTCTTATCAAACAACTTATTACCCAGGTTTTTTTATTGCATTCATTTCCTTGTAAAATGAATCAAGCAGGTGATGTATGTATAATACAAATTTCAATCAATCATCATATTTTCCTACCCATTTTTGGATTTTGGAAACGATAAAAAAAAGAACAGAAACGAGTCCACCCATTGGATAACCAGTGCGAGGCCTCAAAGCTATAATTTATTTGCCTCTCGTTAAGCCTCTTCCATAGTGACTAGGCCTACGGTCAAACTCGAGACTTCAAAGGGGCCCATGACGGCTCGATTTTCACCAATGGCCAACTAAATAAGTCGAAAAAAGGACGGACTGTTTACCGGTCTAAATCCGCCGACCAATCAACTGTTTCACAATGTCGTTGTGATTTTCCGAATCCGCGTTATTGGGAGGCTCGGAACGGCAAGCCAAACAGAGGCGAATCGAAACAAACGGAAATGAAATAGCTAATTGTGAAATATCGCCGCCGATTTGGACTGAACTTTGAAAGCTCAGTTACTTCCGCTTGATTTAAATTGCCCGTCATCAACTGGAACGGAGCGCTCAAGTTCCGAGCGCGAGCGAAATAAGAGAGTTTCGGAAGTTTCCCTCGATTATTTACCGTGTTTTGCGATTAATTTTCGTTTGTTTTCACTTAGGTTCCTTTCTCGCTCTGTTATTGCTCTCCAGGCTTTTAGCCAAGGCCTTCTGTACATAGGAAGGAATCTGAGAAGTTAAATCAGGCAAATCCTCATTTTAGGTTTTTTCCTTTACCTTTTCCCCTTTTTTTGGTGGAGGAGTAGCCCAGTTGGACCATGTAATTATTACATAATGGCGAATAATTATTACTTTTTTCCCATTTTGATGATGAGATGGGGACATTTCCAGATCCTCTTCTTGGTCAAATTGAAAAAATAATTATGGCAAACGGTGAGGCTTTATCGGATGAGCAGTGTTTTGCTCTTTTCAAGGATCTATTGGACAACATTTTACAATTAGGAACTAAAAGGACCCTACAACAAAACGGCCAAATCGGCCTAAACACGGAATCGTCTGATTTTCTCAGGGATGATAGAGGGTCTTCCCAGACACTCAAAACTGGTCATATTTTTTGCCTAACCCCCAGGGAAAAGGGGGGAGAGGGGGTCAAAGTCAAAACTTTTAAATTAGCATAACTTCTCAACGGTTTGTCGTAGAAAGATGATCTTGGTGTCAAAATTTCCAGAAGAATGAGAGCTTTCAGAATATATGTATGAAATTAATTAAATTTTAAAATTTGACCCACTTTTGGGGCATTTTACAAGGTCCCCCTTTCGTAAATTTTCGTTTTTTGAGATTTTCGGTTGTTCGGTTCGCACGGATCAAAACAAAAACAATTTCAAATAACAGTAGAGCGTTTAAGCTTTAAAAGAAGCCCAAGATGATCTTGGGGAAATGATTAGAAGCGGAGTTATGAGTCTTCAAAGTTGACGCGGCGCGCGGGAACCTTGTATGTTCCGAGTCTCAAGGTCACCTGCGCGCCCTGGATTGCCTGAAGGTTGCAAGTTTTTGTGTTTTTATGCTTCTCTAGGTCATTTTTAATGTAAATCATTCAATGAAGATAGAATAATCGAAATTTTTTAATTTTACGGGAGGAGCGAGAGGGGGCTTAGAGTATCAACCATTATGTCCATCATACCTCATTAAACATTTGCTGACGATGACGATTCTGCTCTTATAATTTAGAGGAAACCATGGACCCTCAGTTCAAATATACGTATGATCCATACAGAACTGAACCATTTAGAAATTATAACCCATTGATGTCAAATTTTGGGGTACCCCTAATTTTAAAATTTTTTAATTGAGCTATAAGCTACAGCGCTTGACGGAACTCACTTGGTAAAGCCAAATAGTTTCTCGTTGAAGCAGACGAGCTTTGAGCTTCAAAACAAGTCTCTGTTATTCTTGAAGGGGCTATTTGAAACGCCGTTAAAATTTTTTGACGTTAATGTGGTGTGCCTCGCCGAAGGCCCATTGTGTAAAATTAAAAAATTCTAATTAAACTATCTTCATTGCATGGTTTACATTAAAAATGACCTACAGAAGCATAAAAACACAAAAACTTGCAACCTGCAGGCAATCCGGAGCGCGCAGGTGACCTTGAGACTCGGAACATACAAGGTTCCCGCGCGCCGCGTCAACTTTGAAGACTCATAACTCCGCTTCTAATCATTTCCCCAAGATCATCTTGGGCTTCTTTTAAAGCTTAAACGTTCTACTTTTATTTGAAATTGTTTTTGTTTTGATCCGTGCGAACCGAACAACAGAAAATCTCAAAAAACGAAAATTTACGAAAGGGGGACCTTGTAAAATGCCCTAAAAGTGGGTCAAATTTTAAAATTTAATTAATTTCATACATATATTCTGAAAGCTCTCATTCTTCTGGAAATTTTGACACCAAGATCATCTTTCTACGACAAACCGTTGAGAAGTTATGCTAATTTAAAAGTTTTGACTTTGACCCCCTCTCCCCCCTTTTCCCTGGGGGTTAGGCAAAAAATATGACCAGTTTTGAGTGTCTGGGAAGACCCTCCATCATTCCTGAGAAAATCGTACGATTCCGTGTTTAGGCCGATTTGGCCGTTTTGTTGTAGGGTCCTTTCTGGCTCATTTTAGGAAATATGTACCATTAGCTCCCCTAAACAAATATGTGTTGTTATCGATGAGCCAGAAATGTAGCTCCTTATTGCATAATGTTGTCCAATTATTTTAGGTCTAGATTTTTTTTAAAAATAAAACTAATTTTTATACTATTTCAATGTAAAACCACGGAGCTACCGAAGTTTACTTGTTTGTCCAAGTTTAAGACGTCACAAATTTCTTTTGACCCGTTTGTCTTTTTTGAAGGATCAAATTATCATCGCTACCTTACAAAGTTTCCTGTAATTTTTATTTGCCCTCTCAAGATAATCCTCACGGATGTTTTCAAAGTTTTTTCCGAAAAAATAAAATGGAAGCAAAAATTTTGAAAGACCATAGTCAATCCCTAGTTTTCGTTGTTTCACAGTTGGGGTGTCGAAAAACCTGAACGTCCGATTCCAATACGCACAGGTGAGGTGAGACAGCTTGGCCCTGAAGCCCCTCTTTACCGACAACGAAATTCAAAATAGTGCGTGGAATATTTAATTCCTTAAGTATCTCCGTAAGTTGATTAAATGGGAATGGGCCTGGATAAGATCTTAAGCTCCGAGCCCTGAGNGGGGGGGGGGGGGACTGCAGCGCATGCGCATGATGGCGGGAATCACTATAACAAAAGGGCCCAGCACCAACAACTCGTTAGCCCGGTCTTTCCCTTTCTATCACGACTTTCTAGGCTCCTGATTATTTTAGCACTTGCGCCTTTTTTTAAATAAAGGGTTTGGTTGCGTGTTCTATCGCATTTTGCGTGTCAGACCCGATTCGACGTTTAGGAGCCCACGGTGAGGTGCCACTGGAGGGTTGACCACGTAGAAGAAAATAATTATACCTATCTTCCACTCATGACGCGACGCCTGTAAAATGTAAGCGTCTTTTAGGACTGGAACATTAACACTTTCTTCACGTTGGAATTGTTTTCTTTTCTGTGATAAGCATAAACGCTGCAGTCTTACCCAGATTCCAAGAACATGCTTAATCCTACATTTCTCATCTACTTTGTTTTTATGCGTATCAGTTTTTGGCTGAAAGCAAGTCGATTAGCTACGCACTCATGCATCATGTATTTTTAATGATTTCCGCGCATATTTTATTGTCCAGAACGAGAGCGAATCAACATTATGATTTGAAATTCTTACAGAATGACCGCAGGAGGAAATCTAAAGAAGTCTCGAGTCTTAATGCTGATTTGCTTCTCCTCTCTGACAAATGAAGCATGCGCACGGAAATTCTAATGAATTACAATTGGACTTCACTGAGTAGAACAGATAAATCCACACAGATATATTTACAGATATGTCCACAGATATATCTAAGGTTTGCAAGGTGTTATCGGATAAATATTAGTTCAGTTATACCTGACGTACCACAGGGTTATTTATACGTATCAGGGATTTTTCAGAAAAAAGAGTAACACTTAGATATAATGAATTGATTGATTGAAAAGGTCGGATTGTTCGAATTCGAATTGTTGAAGGTTTATGAACATTCTTGGCCATTTTAGTTTGATTGGCGAATCTGGACATTGGCAGTCATTTTCGTTGTGTTAGTAGGTTGGCAGCCTATTTGAGCCCTAAGAGCTCCATATCTCGACATGTTTATACTCTTCCTCTATGTACAGGTACTCTCGTACAGTATGGGTGGGGCAGTGCTCCCATTCCATGCCCGCCAAAAGTTCCGCGATTCGGAACTTTTTGTTCCAACTTCTCACACTCCACGGCCGTTAAAAGTTCCGGGATTCCTTTTAGATGTTTTCAAGAGTTCCATGAAAGTTCCGGAAAATAAAAAAAATCCGAAAAATTTCGGGCGTTTCAAAAGTTCCGGGAAAAATTCAGGAAAATCTCAAACTTTCCGGAACTTGGAATTTTCTATGGAAAATGGAATCACTCTAGGGCAACTCTGTTTAAGTGAATGACGACTCCCATCCACTGAAAAAAAAAAAAAAAAAAAAAAAAACTGGAAAAAAACCAAACACATTGAATCTAGAGTCCAGACTCTTGAAAACATTGACAAGAAAAAGGACTCTTGATTCAATCAGATTTTTGCTTAAATCAAAAGGAAATCCGCTCAAATCAAGAGGCTTGGTTCTTGACTTAAGCTTCAATCTGATTGAATCAAGAGTATTTTTTCTTGTCGATGTTTTTAAGAGTCTGGACTCTAGATCCAATGTGCGTTTTTCCAGTGTCTAATACCGAAGGCAGTTTGGTACCCTCATTCTACTGTTGCCAAACGACATGCCGGTGCTTACCTTCATGTTGAGCGGGATGTTCTTCTCGGGCGTGAAGCTGGCGGGGAGGGCGCAGAGGGGGTTGCCGGCGGCCTTGATGCGCCGGTTGCGCAGGACGATGTAGGCGATGGCCGCGGACAAGACAACAATGACGATCATCAGCGTCCCGATGACGAAGCCGACGATCCGATGCGAGTCCGAGTCCTTCCCGGCCGGGCCCGGCGGCGGCGGCACTCCTCCTGAAATCCCAAAAACAAACCGCCGTGATTGCTGATAAGCCCTAGCCTATCCGGCCACCGAGGACACCAAGGGAGTGGTCCACAGCTCCCGAATCCTCGTCGAAAAGACAGGAACGGAAACGGACGGTATTGCTGCTGCGCTATGGAAAAACGACGTATGAGCCTTCCGACACTGCTGTATACTGCCGTGCTAAGGAATAACGCCGTATGAGCCTTGAGACGTTGCTAAGTTCCCTTTGATAAAAACCGAATCTAGTGGCAATATTGTGAATATTTTTTCCCAAGATTTTCAGACAATTTTTTACGCAATTTAATCTGAAATATCTGAAAATTGCAAAGACGAATATGCATGAATGTCGTCAACAATACATATTTTATTGAGTGAAATTTGGCAACTCTCGAATGTTCGTACGGCGTTCTTCCTTAGCACGGTAGTATAGATGGCCAAAGTGCGGAACCACGTATCTCAATTCTATCGTGCTACATGGAAAAAATTAAATTGCTGATTTGACAATTCAATTGCTAAAAAAAGTGACTGCAATATTTCAACGTAGATTTCACGACATAAAAATGCTACTTTAACCACTATTGTAAAGCTAATTTAACCACGCACGGGGTTGGTTAAAGCAGCATTCTTTTGTTGTAAAATCTACATTAAAACATTGCAGTCACTTTTTTTTAGCAATTGAATTGTTAAATCAGCAATTTAATTTATTCCGTGTAAGGAAGAACGCCGTATGGGCCATCGAGCATTGCCAAATGTCCTTCGAAAAATCTCAAATTTTCAGGAAAAGTTGTGAATATTCCTCTTCCGTTTTTTGAAAGGATCTCGTTCGTACTTTAATTTGAAAAGTATGAATATTACAAGGAAAAATACTCTCAACTTTCTTCAAGAATAAGTATCTTCTGAGAGGAAACTTGGCAACGTTCGAATGATCATACGGCGTTTTTCCTTAGCACAGCAGCATTGGGGTGTTTCAAAATCGTCGCTTCTATTTTATTTTTTTCAGAAAACAAGTCAACTTTAAAGCTTGAAATTTACATGGTATATTCTGCTCGTAAAGAGGAAAAATAACGGAAGTTTCTGGGAAATTACGTTAACGGGTTTTCCAAAGAAAAAATAAAGTATGACAGGAAGTTTGCAAAGTCACAAACGGAGATATGGTGGCTTCGCACTTTGGACATCGATATTTACGCATATAAATTGCATGACAAATATGCATAACTTTCCTCAAAAGTTAATGTTTTATTCGAGGAAATTTGGCAAACCTTCGAATTTTCAGATTGCGTTCTGCCCTAGTAAGGCAGCATGGAAAAATGTCTTATAAGTCTTCAGGATTTGCCAAATAAAGAGGGGGAATTCAAAACTTGGTAACCATCAAGTTTTGTTAATATTGTGGATGGTATTCTTCACTGTGAAAAGACCTTAACGTCTTTGCTCTGCGAAATTTTAATTTGGAAATTTTTGTCTGAATTTTGGCTGCTCTCCGTCACAAGAAGCGTTACTTTTGAGCCACTGGATTCCCGGTGAATGAGAGCAGCAGATGCACAATACATAATCTTAGCAACCAGTGGCGTGGCGTGAATTGCGATACATCGATTGTTATTCCATTTAAACCTACGGTAAAGAATCGATTATTAAGGTGTTTGCTGCGAACACCCTGTTTATCGATCCTTTTCCATAGGTTTAAATGGCATAACCATCGATATATCGCATATAACGCCACGCCTCTGTTAGCAACCCCTGATGGAGCTTACCATGTTTTGTACCATGCATTCCATTCTTCAACAAATGCTCTCTGAAAAACTTCGGATTTTCTGGAAAAATCGCGAATATTTTATGGTATCAAAATTCCATCAAAACTATCAATCTGACCTGAAGAAGGACTGGCTGTTAAAATTTGAAAGTGAGTAATGTACATGCAAACCACTTACCGACTAAGTCTGAATTCTGAAGATGGTAGTCTCTGGTGGGTGTCGTATGAACTTGGTCTCTTTGCAGAGGGTACTCGCTATGTTTGCTAATCTTGTTGTCCTCCTCTTTAGGTTCACTCTCGATTCCATCAACCGGCTCTGCAACAACGAAATATAGTCACAAAATAATATATTTTCAAATTCTTTCCACCGGAGAAAAAAAAGTATTTCACAAATTTAGAAGTAATGGTTTAGGGCTGCCGTATTACACCCCAGTCGAAATAACTCACCCAAAACCATCTTCACTGTATGTAACATCGACCGATGTCTTCTCATTGTTCTATCGTTTTTAACAAGAATCTAAACAACATAATTGATATCGATGGCTATAGTGTAAAATCTCGTATCTCCATTGCAGTGTCTCAATATTTCCGCCCTAATTTTATTTTTGCGAAGAAAAACAGGCCAACTTTACAGCTCAGAATTTATACAGTATATTCTGCTAACAGAGATGAAACAAGCTGCTGGTTCCAACACTACTGTGTTGGAGAGCTCGCCTTTGGGAAACTATTAACAACTATTAATGATTTTTTCTGAAATTGTATATGTATTAAATGAATCTTTACCCAATTATCAGAGGTTACATGCCGATGCAAAATGTTATGACGTAATTTCATATGACAAATTTTTCACATTACAATAAATAAAGAGAAATAAAGAGAGAGAAATGGAATTATCTTTTATGAATGTGATTTTGCGGCAAATGTTGCAATGGCTATTTTTGCCATCGCATTTTTGTTTCTGGCTTTCATCGTTGATAAGCTTTTTCTTAACTTGTCAACAATGTAATGAAACCATATGATTTAATTTTAATTTTTTTTTAAATCAAGTCGCCAACTTGAATTAAGGTTATACTTTGTTAAGCTGGCAGTCTGAAATTCTGAATTTTTATCGGCACAGAGTTCAAAGAAACTATAATTTAGCACGGTTTGGAGGAACGTTTCTGCCATAATTCTTACACAATACTTATGGTATACACTAAGAGCTGAAAAGGAATTCACTTGAATTTTAGCGTGGAGCTCGAGAGACCACTTCAAGCCTTTGTATGCGAGTGGCTCAATGGAGCACATCACGCCTTTGTAGGTATGGGGTGGCTCAATGGAGCACCTCGCGCACTATAAATAGCACGGAGCTCGAAAGAGCACTTCATGCATCTGTATTTTAAGGTTAAAACGAACTCTAAAGAAACTCAATGCGAGGCTCAAACGAATTCTCAAGCATTCTAAATGCGAGGCTCAAACGAATTCCCAAGCATTCTTGATGCGAGGGGCTCAAACGAATCCTAAAGCATTCTTAATATGAGGTTTAAACAAACTCTGAAAGGATCCCAATGCGAGTCTCAACCGAGCTCTCAAGCATGCAATTATTTTGAGGTTAATTAACCTTCTATGGTACCAATAACGGCAATCTTAAGGATTATCCATTAATTATGCGCAAATCTCAATCTTAGTCTTAGTAACTTAAAATTAATTGAACAAATTATTAAATCACGTCGAGGTCACCATGTTTTTTATTTTAAGAAATAATAACAATTGCAAGTACAACTGCACACAAAAACTGCATTGAAAAAATAAGAGGATGATAACATACAATTAGGTTATTTGATATAAAACCATAGCAACATGCTATGATATGCTCGGCCACTGGAAAGTGCTGCTCTCTAGTGTAGCAAACGAGGAACAATTAATCCTCAGTTGAATGAGGGAACGGAAATGTTCGACGGAGGAAAAATGTAACCCGCGAAAATTCAACTTTTAGACCTTGAAATCAATGGGATTTTGGCCGTTCCTCCGACGGCAACGAGAACCATCCATTCGTCGCCACGGACAGTACCAATGCTAAAAGAAATCGATCGCAAAGAGCTCTCCCGAGTGGGCGAGCTCAAAAATCAAAGATGTTTTCAAGAAATTACATCCACTCGTTTTCCGAGGAAAAAATAAAGTATGACAAGAAGTCTGCAACGTCGCAAACGGCGTTATTTCGCACTTTCGCCATCGATATGTGTAATTGGTTTAAATGGAGCAGATAGTACCGCGGATAATCATCTCTGAGAAATAGGTCCCCGTTAAAAATAACGTAAAACCGGTAATTATTCGTCGCGGGATTGCTTCATTTCACGCAAAATTCGATTACCCTCTGTGTTTCCCAGAGAGAAATGCGAGAATTTCGGAGCAACAACATCTCACTCGGGAATTTACTGTATTTTCGCACGAGAGTTGCGAATTCAGATCGCAATTTTCATCACGATCATTCGCATGTTGTCCCCGCTTGCATGTATCTGACCTCTCGGCTTCTGGAAACCGCGACGACTTAATCTGCGCGGCCTACCGAACCGGTCGATGGGTTCGAAACACCCGGGAGCCCTACCGTTGCGGCAAAAAAAAAACATAGATTACATGAAGTTACCGTAGAGGTTACGTCGTTTTAAATTAACAGAGCAGAGTTGTCTTGACGGGTCGCCTGAAGCCAATAATTGGACCTCATTTTCCAAAAAGGAACAGCTATCTCTTGCTTATTTTAGAGGAAACGCACGCACCGCACTGCTGTGCTAAGGAAGAACGCCGTATGACCCATCGGACATTGTCAAATTTCGTTCGATAAAACACGGCTATTCAGGGAAACTTTTGAATTTTTTCTTCCAATGTTTCAGGGTATTTTATTCGTAATTTAATTTAGAATATCTGAAATTTTCAAGGACAAATATGCGTAACTCTCTTCAAAACTACATTTTTATCCGGCGGAATTTGGCAACACTCGAATGTGGCATGAACAGCAGCATGAGTGTTCCTATGCAGATACGTGAATTCATGGATTGGTCGGAAACGGTGGCTCCTTATGCAAATGAAGTCCAATTTTATGCGACGATCTCTTCCAAGCATTGCGGGATTTTAGCTGAATAAAATTTTTCAAGTCGTAAAGAATAGCGTAGCGTGGCAATTGCATCATGAACAATAGATAGAAAAACAATAATCACTTGAGTTTAGATCGATGGAGAGAAAATGTTAACGAGTAATGCAAATCGTGTTGTAAGCGTATTCCGGGTTGCCTTAATGAAACCACCCTTGTAAAAATGACGGGTGAGCAAAGGATGTCAAGTGCAGCAGCAGCCGTTCTTCAAGCAACTCAATCTATATCATCTCGAAAAGAGCAGATTAATGAAAAAAGGAATATTGACGTTTATATATACGTATAATATATACGAGAAGGACAAATCAAACGAAAAACCCGGAACGTATTCCATTTTCAACCGGAAACAAAAATTAAATAAAAATACCGCTGTATTTTGCGACTTGATATTGACTATTTTGTTTCAGGTTGATAATGGAATTGTAACTATTTCGAAACGTTCCGGATTTTTTTTTCTTCTAATGTGTCCCCCTTTTGCAACCTCTCCACATTTAAGTTATTATACTTTATGACGATGGTAATAGTACCTAATGCCTTCATGCAACTATTCGTGTCCAGCGGATAAGCGTGTCGCGGTAATCTAATTGAAGGCGCTCCGGTTATGTATACTCATTATCATGCTTGATGAGAAGCGGTGCTTTTGCTTTTACGAAGAAGTCCGTAGGTTTTTTGCTTATGAATTTTCCATAGTAATCCTCGTTTCATATTGAATTGAATTAATTTTATCCACAAAACGGTCACGGACAATCGGACACCCTCTGAACAAGAGTCGTCGCATCAAAGGTATTTTCATCATCGTCGCGTAGTGTCTAGCGAACATGATACACTAATTTCTGAATGATCAAAATTGATTCCTGACTTTTTCAACCTGTTTAAAATGTTCTGGTTGCAATGTGATCAGGGAGCTCATTTTCAGGTTTGTTAATTATTATACCTTGTCTACCTGTTATTAATTTATATTCCCGTCGTTTTCAGTGGGAAGTTATGTTGCCTGCGATCTGCCAGTCCTCGGTACCGAAAGGGAAAGAAAAGACGGGGGAGTAAGAAAATTCGGAAAATGAGGAACACTTTACTTTCGGAATTCTAGGCGATAATTTGTTCATTTAATTTCAATTTATTTTCCTTCACATCTTCTCATTTAGCCATATGTTGAAGGTCGTGAAAATTCAACTACCGTCGTAGACTGTTGACGCAAATGGCAAAAAAATTGTGGGGCTTGGAGGACAAGGCGCACAAGTGCAGATTTTGAAAAAATTGAGATTTTAATGATATCAAGTAAAACTAGTCTTAAAGCATATTCTGTGAAAAATACGCTTCCAAATTCCAGTTTTTAAGCATCCAAAAGTCAGTTTGAACTTCCTCTCCGACATAAGGATCCATGTAGTTTCGAAACTTCAAACACGTATTTCTCGGAATAGCAAAAACTGTAATTATACCTCTTGACATTCGAATTCCCCTCAATTGTAAGGTACGACTGCAATACACCTGTGCGGAGGACGATTTATAAAGAAAATCAACAATGTTTTGAGGAGAAGGAAGTAGTTATTGCCACGCCTTAATGAACGTTTCAACTTTCAAGTCTGATGACAGGGACGGAGGAACACGCTGACAGCGGCAATTACGATCCTTGCACACCGCCAAAGTTTAGCGCCAATCATAAAAATATCCGTAAATACTCATGAAGAGAGCAAACTAAAACACCAGGGTAACTTTGCAATTATGGCCCCAAACTTTGTAACTAAAACTGCAAGTTTCACGCGCCTCAAACTCAAACTCTTTGCAAGCTGCGAGACGAACTTGCAAAGACAAATTAGCGACTTGTTTGAGACTATAATCTCTGCTTGTCAAATTAAAAACCTTTACTTTTACTTCGAACCCTCGATGTTTTTTTTCGCGGACAAGCCGGGAATGGACCGAATTTGTGAAAAAAATGACGGAAAAATGGATACTGCTATGCAAAAAGGATTATTCTGCACTACATTCTTGCAAGATTGCATTTCATAATTCAATCTGTGAAAGAGGAGAAAAAAAGTTTATTTGCAGTGTAGATAGACATCCCCAGCTCATTCTTTCCTGAAAAGGAAAACATGATATGAGTAGACATCATGGAATACTAGTATAAATCACTTAGATACCTTCTTCCTTTTCTCCTTTTTGCGGAAAAACCATTCGTGGAAATGGTACTTAACTACATTATGTTCATCGCGCATTGTTCAAAACGAACCATGTAAAACTAACCCAAAATAATAGTGTAATTTCCTCGGAAAGAAGCGAAGGTGTGAAGACAAGGATATCAAATATTTACTAAACTTTTCGGCTCTCTGTCTAAAATGATCAAAACGAAGCCTACATTTGATACGTCACGGCTGCAGATGGTTGGCGCCGACATTGAATGGTGAAAGACTAAGCTGAAGGAGGAGTTTTGAAGACCACGCAAACAAACAAGGGAAGAAAAAATACGGTCACGTGAAGGGGTTCCAGTCGTAAAATAAAGGGCCCAGGTCCTTTAATGATTCCACGGTTGCCACGAGTTTAAAACATGGATTTCATTCGATAGACTGATCTATACATTCTGACTTGATATTTTGTGAGTCTTTAGAATTTAAGGAAAATGTATATGAAGTTTCAGGGCGTTATAGTTTTTATTCGTTTGTTGAAAAAATACAACTAAGGAGGAAATTAGGCGGCGTGAAATGCAGTCACCATGATTCTAATTGAGTCCATACATTTTACCTGGGTCCAATCAGGGGGTAATATTCGCCTCGAGAAAATGTAGCTTACAACGCTCTCTTTGAAAGTAATCGTTGATACCCCGTGCAAATGAATTTCCGTCGAGGAAAGTATCCAGAAGATAGCAACTTTTCAGTCAATGATGACAATGAGTTTGACATCAAATCAAATTCACCAAATTTTCTTGTTAATTCTTCGGGATTTCACATAGAAATCCGTTCTGTTCGGTCACAGCTTCCATCGAAAATTGACACCACTCACCAATCATTGAATTTTCTTTAAGTTCCAAGGCCTGGATACTCACTCAAATTACCATTAATTTCCGATCAAAAGGTGACTGGTGCACACCATCTACCATCAATTTTTGCGGCCTGCAAAAATTTGATGGTAGATGATGGAACTGTGGGTCTCATCCGTCATCTGACTGCCGCACAACCGTGCTTATTTCATGCCTATTTCAATCAACACGCTATTTTAATTAATTTTAGATAACAATTTAGATAACCCTCGACCACCATTTATGTCATTAGTATGATCAGAAATTGACGGAAATTTGAGCGTGTCTCCAGGCCTCTACACCCGATCACAAAAATTCGATTATTATCCAACCCCCCCCCCCCCAGATTTTGCAAATTTTCGCGTCAAATTTGGCAACACCGCCAAAAGTCGATTTTGTGCATCGGGATAGGGAACGACCGCGGCTGCGGCTTGTCTGGATGCTGTCAATCGACTCGGATCGACTCAATCTGAGCGTAACGCGTGTCGGATCGGGACTCGAACCCTCGTCGAATTCGATACATCGAACTTCGATACTTTTCACACGTCAGATAGGATATCCGCCACTGCGTAAATCGAACGTGTGTATCGCTTTGCGCGCAACCCGTCCCGTTGCGACGGCTGATAGCACATAGCATAGCAGCACTGAATAAATCATCCGGAAACGAAATAATTTATCGTGTTGTTATGTCTTCGTCTCTGGATCGCTCTGTTCTGCATTTCATGCGATGTTGCCGCGCGGGCCTTTGCGGTGCGTTCGCGGTTTGTTGACACTGACGACGAAATATCCGAGTGGAAATCCGCGACTCGGGTTCCTACATGGAGAAAAAAACTTCGTGCATGGGACCCGAAGTTGCGGTCATATGGATCTCTGAAGTTTTCTGATGACGCATCCAAAAACTTGAGGTCGAGCTGCCGAAGTTCGGGTCAGACATCGAGGCACTTCGGGATGTACCCGAGTACTTCAGATGTGTGATACGAAGCCTTCGGTATGTATCGAAGTACTTCAGATGTCTGACCCGAACTTCGGCAGCTTGACCTCAAGTTTTCAGATACACTGGAAAAAAAACCATTGGATCTAGAGTCCAGACTCTTGAAAACATTGACAAGAAAAAGGACTCTTGATTCAATCAGAATCTAGCTTAAATCAAGAACCAAGCCTCTTAATTTGAGCGGATTTCCTTTTGATTTAAGCATAAATCTGATTGAATCAAGAGTCCTTTTTCTTGTCAATGTTTCCAAGAGTCTGGACTCTAGTCTAGATCCAATGTGTTTTTTTTTCCAGTGTACGTGATCCGAAAACTTCAGAGATCCATATGACCTCAACTTCGGGTCCCAGGCACGAGGTTTTTTCTCCGTGTACGGCGTAAAATTTGCTTTCGGGAATCAATGGTAAGTGTGGTTTAAAGGCGACTAGCCGTGTTGAGTAATTTGATTGGTAACCTTGAGTGTTTTAAGCCCAAGGCGTGCTATAATTGGACGTATTTCTATCAAACAGAACTATGCACAGGTGGGAAAGATGGGGCGCACTCGCTAGTCGAGAGCCGTACAAATGAATGGGAATTATAAAAGCGCCAGTCCCGTCCAGGGCCGGATTTACCTACTCGCCGCCCATGGGCCGCCTGTATTTTGCCGCCCCCTTCTCATTCGTTTCGAAATACCAATAAAAACCATCAAGTAAACGTGCCAGCGGGGGAGGGGTGCGTAAGACTTGTTTACTCGTATTGGACATATTTTTTGGGAAAGCCCCGTTAACACTACTAGCTAAAGTTCACGGAACTTTGCGCGAAAGGTAAGTTCCGTAAACCTATCTCTGTGTGGACAAGGCCTTCCATTCATAAGAAATGAACGAACAAATTATGAAAGAACAAACATAAATTTAGTTTAATGATTTTGACTACCACCGCCGCGCCGCGCAGACTGCACTGTGTTTGGCACATTCCGTGAAGTAGGTCTTCTAGGCGCTATGCGTTTCAAGCCGACCGCTGCTGAACGCACTGTGTTTGACGCAATGCGTGAAGTATTCGTGCAGTCTTGTAGGCGCTAATATGTGTTACATGCCGACCGTCGCGGCGAGGGCTTCTCCTTTTCATCTCAAGTCCTCGTCATCATTTCTCTGTAAGACTGTTGATTCTTATGTAAAAGTTTGTGAGAAACATGATGGTGCTACTGGTTTTCTCTGAAATCAACTCCCAAGCTCAAAAAAAGCTCTCAAGTTGAGGCCAAAATGGAGGTGATATTCCACGCTATCCTGAGAGTCCACGTCTACGTCAAGACAAACTCTCCATGCGAAGATAGGGAGCCAATACATTGATAGGGCTACCACTTTATTTGGGAACTCCACAACTGAAAACACGGCATCCCTGCCAGTGTATTTGCTCCCTATCTTTTGCGTGGAGAGTTCGTCTTGATATAGAAGTGGACTCTCAGGATAGCGCGGGATATCCCCTCCATTTTGGCCTCAACTTGAGAGCTTTTTTTGAACTTGGGAGTTGATTTCAGAGAAAACCAGTAGCACCATCCTGTTTCTCGCGAACTTTTACATAAGAATCAATAGTCAAATCGCAAATTCTTCACACATGCAACATCTCCATTGGAGACGAAAACACAATCCGAAAAATTCTCTGTGCCCCCCCCCCCCCTNCTTATTTGGATCCCTGGGTTGAAATCCCGCGGATATACGCTCGCGGTCGCGCAACACGGATCGCGAACTGCGGGCGTCGCGTCGTCGTCGTCGGGTCGGTCGTGGCGGGGAATGTATTTTTGTCACGCGCCCGTGTTCATCGCTTAAGTGTAACTTGTCGGGAGCTGTCGCTAGTCGATAATGAATGCACCGCCGCCAAGCAAAAATCCACGCACGACGGCAAATCCGAGCTCCCCCGAATTCGCACTCATCCACCCCCATCCCTACGTTTCCACCCCGCTTTTTTGCCTTGATCCTCGAAGCGTTTTCGTACGCGATTCGTGAGGTCTTACCCTCGGACCGTGCATGAAGGACGAGGGGTGTGTAAAATCATTCAATTAGGTAAGATTCCAGCGGGCTGATTGTTGAAATTAATAGACAAAGCGCTGGACAAAGAAGACTATAGAGCGATCCTATTGGTTAATTTGGGTGGCTCTTATAAACGAAGGGAGATTAAGGTGGAGGCTTCTCGTGAGTTGCCTTTCGTTAGTCTATTACATCCTTTGTCCATTGTAAATACTATCTTTCGCCAATAGGATCCCTACGATTTGCCACGCACTCTTTCTTGCGCATTTGAACTTTTTGACAAATCGATGGCCAAAGTGCGAAACCACGTGTCCACATTGCGATGTTTCAAAATTCTTCCTATTTTACTTTTGCGGACAAAAAGAAGTCTAGTTTCTTCCTTAAAATGTACATAGAATATTTTGCTATCATAGAGGAAAAATTAAGGAGGTTTTCCAGAAATTACGTTGACTAGTTTTCCTAGGAAAAAATAAATTATATGACAGGAAGGCTACAACGTCACAACAAGAGGACATGAGTGGTTTCGCACCTTGGCAATCGGAATACGTACAGTACAGATTACGATGTGGGATAAGAATACTTACCAGATTCAAATGAGACTTCGCTGATGAGTATCCACTTGTCCGCAAAGTAGAGTTGAACTTTGAGGAATTTGGCGCATTTATGGTGGAGCTTGATAGTGACGTTGCGGGCTTGCTCTATCACGTGATCAGTCATGTAGGTGAAGTGAACCGGTTCCAGCGAGAATTGCTGCCCTCCCGTGCTGAAGTAAACTTTGGCTCGTGAAAATACCTGCAATCAAAAAGCGTCGTTTATGTGAGCGAAGACGGGGCGAGGATATTAATTTTCATCATGGCATTAAAGAAAAGTGAAGATAAATGGGCCTTGCTAACACAGAGGGAGATACAGGGATAAGTTGGAGGATACCAGAGGTCGACTCTTTGGGTCAAAATAAGAATTTTCTAAAGTGTGACTGTCCACGAACAAGGACTTAAGTGCCCAAAAACTCGTGTTATTCAAATACCATGCGCCTCGCTAAGTAAAGTGCCGTATAAGCTTTTAGACGTTGCCAAATTTCCCTCAATAAACTTCTGATTTTCAGGGAAATCTTTTTTTTTTTAAAGATTTATTTTATTGTAAGCTTCCACTACAGGAAATATATACAGTAAGCTTAAATTATAAGTTATGTATGTAGAAGTAACAACAGATTAATTACTTAATATCATAAGAGTTAAGATAGAAAGTGGTAAGATAATTTACTAGGTAGGGAAATCTGCGAATAGTTTTCCCCCGACTTTTCAGAGAATTCTACCCGCGATCAGATCTAAATTATCGGAAATTTTCAACAGAGAATATTCGTAACCCTCCTCAAGAAAACACATTTTAATGAAAGAACTTCACTCTCAAATGTTCATAGGGCGTTTTTCCTTAGCACAGCAGTATTAGTATACCACTGCTTTCTAAGGGTGATTTTTTTTTCTCAAACATTTGTGCGCAAAATTCCACAATAACAAATCTCGTGGACGGTAATAAAAATATTTGTTCACGTTAACTTTGTCCATACTCATTAGTATGTCGGAGACCCTGTGACAGGATCGATGGATAGAAGAGAAATCCGGCGGTGACCCAGCACTACGCTGTAAAACGTTCAATTTTTCTCGATGTATTTAAATGACCCTGATAAATAATTCACGACCCTCTTGCTGGCACGCTAAATAAAAACCGTGGATCTACATAAGATTTTCAAAGGACTTGCGTTGTTTTTGTCTGACACCGCGGGATACCCTGCGAATAACCGGAGAACGGAAATATTTTACCGAGGGATACCTACACGAAAACAACCACTCTGAGAAAAAAATCCATGAACAGTAGTTGAAATATCTCAATTTTCGTAGGAGCCCTGGAATGTTTGTACTCTCGTGTATTTTAGAGTTCAACTGGAGATCGGCATGTTCCCTCTAAGCGATCATTGCTTGAAAAGAAAACTTACAACGTTGATGTTTACGTTATCTCTGCAAACCCCAACCACACAGTAAGTTCCAAATTCGACGAAATTATTTGTCCTTAAAATCTTGCGTAGGCGTCCTAAATAGAGACTCCATCATCGCTTAGTCGACACCGAAATTTTACTTATTTTATACATGCATTTTTTTATGTTCACTATATGCAACTAAACTGACTATATGGAACTGAAAGCATATGATACATGAAAACCGGATTTTACTTGGAGCTTCTGATCATTATTTAAAGGAAGCCACCAAAATAATGACCGGAAGCTCTGAATAAAATCTACTTTCACATGTGTTTGTACACATTTCAAGGAGAAAATAGCATTCTTAGGATCGTATCTCCCTGAAAAACGAGTGAAAATTTGAGGAGACAGGTTTTTTCAGAGGATTTTGTGCTGTAGAAACGTTATGCGACTTATGAAGCTTTCCCCGATTTGTTCGTACAACGCGAGCGTAAAAATAGATTTTCAAAAAAACTGACTATGATTTAACACTCACACGAAAGAGGCTACCATACATGAAACACGCGTTTATCCCCTCGAAAAGTTCATTGAATTTAATAGATTAGAACAACTGAGGCTTTTTTTCGTCCATCGTCATTTAAACCACCGGTGCATGCGATGCGATTTATCAGACAGCACACGGCAAGCGAAGCGACTAGTCGTGGATAAAGCTAGACAATAGAAATTCAACTCTTGTGAACTTTTCACTGTAGTTACGATAGGCATCAACCATTCATCATTTTCGATTCGTGTGCGTTCCAGGTCTCTTTTGCCTGCTCTACAAAATGCCCTGGACATTTTATCCCACTCGCTGATTCCGACGTCGCATTTTTGAGCAAATGGGGCTTTTGTCGCTTCTATCGTAACCAGGTATAAAGAGGCTAGTGAGCTTAGGGGATCCAAACCAAAAATATGGTCACGTTTTTAAACCATCTACCGGCAAGTTCTACAACGACGATTAAACGGACCGCGTTAAGCATAAAGGAACCAAGCCACATAAGCTTTCGCCAAAAATTGGCAAATTTAATTTTCTACATGGAAACAGATGGTGCAGGTTGTGCAGGTCCACAGGTTGTGCAGATATTTGTGCAAATTATAGTGCATTTTCTGCATGGAACAAGGTGGATTTTCTGCATGGTATGAAGCAAATTCCTTAAAATTTTCAAAAGAGTCCGCACAAACGTTCTCTCGTAAAATATTAATTTATAATTAAATTTGGCAATGGCTGATGTGTCTTGGTTTCTTTCTGCTAAACGCGGTCCAGATATGGAAACTGTGTACCTCAAATTGCGACTTTTAAAAAATATTCGATTGTGCTTTATTTTCCTCAAGTAACACCAATCAAAATGTTTCTTTGCGGTTTCATGTGCATTTTTTGTAGAGTGAAAAAATTCACAAACAACTTCAATAGAAACTCTGTTGATCAGTTTTCCTCTCAACATTTAGCATGAGAGGAGACCTGCGGAGTCGCAATTCATCATTTGCAGTGTTCCCATCATAGTTAAGAGCTCCCTTTAGCTCCTTAAGCCGGGCATTGGAGTCTAGCTGATCGTGAGTGAGTGAATAAGAAGACGAGAAAGAAACTGAAAACTCCTTCAATTTAGTAGTCATACTATTTTAACTACTTGGACGTTCAAATAATTGTATCAGATGCTTTTGGTTTTGTGACACGGCTCGCGACACTATACACGGAGATATCAAAGGATGATTGTATCGAGGTGCCTGAGCTGGTAGGTCTTAAGTGTGAAAAAAGTTTCTAATATTCCCTATTTCAATTTGTCGTTGATTGAAGAACGTTTCGATTTTTAACACGAGTTCAACTTTTTTTCTTCTTAAGTTCTACATACCATACGTGTTTGTATTCAATTTTTTTCAAATGTAAGTTCAGAGTTCGAACTCTTTTTGTATCTACTTTGTTTTCTTTCCAACTTCCGTCATTTTACTTACTTACTCACCTACTCGTTTTTGATACCCGCACTTCCGTTCCGTTAGATTTTATTTTATTAGAGGTGGCTAATGTAACCAGGACACCTGCCTAGTTAAAATGTTTGTTCTTTTACCTTATTTTCTCCATATTCATTTTTCCTTCGTATTTCCTTTATCCCTTCTTCTTTTTCCTCTGCTCTCCCTTCCAGGCGCCTCGTTTCATCTGCGCTAATGGAACAGTGTCGTGGCATTATGCAAGTGATACAGCACGACAAAAGCGGGAAGAATGCAAGGTGACGAAACTAGACGGCGAACAAAAGTCATGAGCTACCGATAACACACGAAAGATTACCAGGCGCACCACGCTACCTCAGATCCAGTTAGTTTGACCCCCCAATCAAATAGCAATCCGCAATTTAACTCCGCGAACGAGATCCCAAAGTTCTTGCGAGCTTTGCACTATTTCGCGAAGTGTCCGAAGTTCGAAACATGGGGAGAGCGTTACAGTCGCTCGCACTTCTCACTATAATCTCCATCGGTTATTCCGCCACCGCAGTGAAAGTATTGAGAGCAAAGTCGTGTCTGGTGAATAGAGATTGTTCGGGAGGGCTAATTTGTCGGAAAGGGATCTGCATACGTGGGAAAACTATAGGCGAGCGCTGCGAAATTAACTATGCATCCGACGTCCGAAACGTGGAATCCGACTGCGCGGGGCATCTCGTGTGTTTCATCAATACTTGCGGGGTGAGCATCTGTCGGAGACCGCCTGTCGATCACAAGGAGGACGAGTGGTGTCGATGGGACGGCGATTGTGAGGGCGATCTCATCTGTCGCGACGATGTGTGTAGACGTGGACACGTCGCAGGGGAGAATTGTGTCGCGGGCGTGTACAGGACCAACGATGCGGATTGCGCGAAACACCATACTTGCGAGAGGGGTGTCTGCAGGAAGAATCGGTATAAGTTGGAGGGTGAACGGTGTTTTCATTTCGATGACTGTGTTTGGGATCTCGAGTGCAAAGGCCCTGAAGAGTACACGACGTGCCAGGGAAGAGAGGTGGTTTTTTGATCGGAGGAGCGGATTCAGCATACCGTTGGAAATACAGGAAAGATTTTTGGTGAAGAAATTTCCAAGGCTGGAAGAATTTTCGAGGGGAGTTAGTGCAGTTTTTTGGACTTAAGCATTGATTAAAAATTTACTTTTGGATCAATCCCATTGGCGGATCCAGCAAAGTGGCAACATTGTGCGTACTCCATTTAAATTTATGGGATTGTATCGATTCTTGGAGGGACCAGGTGCTTTAACAAGAATCGATTATTTAGCATAGGTTTAAATGGAGGAAATCCGGTGTTGCCAAATTCCTGGATCCGCCTCTGCACTGGAAAGAAAAAAACTCATTGGATCTAGAGTCCAGGCTCTTGAAAACATTGACAAGAAAAAATACTCTTGATTCAATCAGATTTAAGCTTAAATCAAAAGGAAATCAGCTCAAATTAAGAGGCTTGGTTCTTGATTTAAGCAAAAATCCGATTGAATCAAGAGTATTTTTTCTTGTCGATGTTTTTAAGAGTCTGTACTCCAGATCCAATGTGTTTTTTTCCAGTGTGATTGATCCGCCATGTAATTCCAGTGCATCGTGCACTGATACTCATTGGAGCTCATTTTTTTATTTTAATTATTATTGTTCCTGAAATTATTTTATTTTACCACATAATAGAGCATATTGTATTTTCAAAAGTTTGCGTAAATCAGCCTTTTTATTTGAGCAAATGTCAAGTCCGACACAAACATTATAAGACGGAGTCGATTCTTTTCAAAAATTATAATTGACGCTGATTCAGTGAAACTTCGCTCTCTCGCTTGTGAAGAATGCAATCACTCTCACTTGATTTAAACATGAATCATATAGGTAATTATCGATACGACCAGTCAATACCTTGATGCAAAGAAATTATCTACATGTTCAACTGTAACAGTTCGTGTTTGCTTCGCTCACTTGGCGTTGATTTTGTCACGAAAAACCCAAAAGAACTGCCGATCAGGTTTGTGCTTATTAAATGCGCACCAATAATGCATAAAAAATATTTCAGAACATACAAAACAAACCTTTGATACGGAGCAATATAAACGAAGGACGATACCACACAAGTTTCCTAGAAGTTTAAGTAAGAATTCAGCACGTCCGACAACCGACATGAACCTACCTGGAAGATCTCCCAAGATCCATCCCTCACCATTCACGACTTAAGGTTAATTAAGAGTAGAAAAAATTGTAAAATAACTTTGTTCTATCGTTCCAAGCATCATAGATATTTCTCTCCTCCCCTCCTCATCTACTCACTCTCCGTTTCCGAAAGCTCAATCAACTCATTCACTTTCCATCCCGAAAAAAAAAAAAAATTAACGATAATTAATGAAGTTTGGTAAAGTGTTGACATGGGCCCACGTCCCGAAGAACCACGAATCGCTTAATCATTTTGAACTCCTATTACGATACGAGCGGACCTGGAAACCTGCTCTTAGACGCGAGCCAATCATGAACACACACCATGAATTAGATATGTCCTGGGTGTATTGCGGTCGATCTGCGCTCTATCTCGTATCGTTAACACCGTATGCAAATAAAGGTGTAATAGGCGGCTGAATGGGTGATCCAAGCATGAGTGCGGTGCTTCGGATGGAGCTTAACGCGTCACCCGCGCAGGACGAATTTGATTAATAGTTGCGGGTCAAACCCTGATTTCAGCCTCATTCTTCGAACCTGATGGCTGAGAAAAGGGAGTTACATCATGTGTGGTGAAGGAATCTAATGAGATCATGTGCTTATCTTAGTTCCTCTTATTAGAGTGGTTATTATGTTATTAAATGTGCATTAAACAAATGAAAGATAACTTTTCACACCTTATTATTTATTTTAACAATGTGTGGAGGAATATCACCATAATAAGACTGAATATAGCACTTAGGAACTCCGATATTCTTGGATCGTATGAGGAATAACGTATGCGCCATTAGTTTCCCTAGTTAGCTGGGTTCTTTTATGGATAAGCTAGATGTAGTATATTAGTACCCCAATTGATCTTATGATGAGGAAATTGACTACATTTTGCCATCAGAAACTACAAGTTCCGGCTCATCGGTAAAAACATTTATGTGCACCAGGAAAGTAATGGCACATACGTTGTTTCTAAATTGAGGCAGAAATTGTAGTTCCTAATTTCAAAATGAAGTTCAAATAGTCAATCTATCGATTGGACTACAATTTTGACAAAGGTACTACTAGCAATTTGCACTCTCTGAAAAACTAGAGTAATTTGATATTAGGGGTGCGATATTAGGGTGACGTCACGTTGATGTCTGTAGGGGGACAGTAAGTAAAAATTGAGTAACATGAAAACAATATGTATATAATTACATGTTCACCATGAAGATGTTACATGTCCTTTTTCATTTGATTCATTTTCACGTAGTTTCTTTCAGCATAAATACGCGCCATTTCGAGTATTGCAGCGCGAATGTACATCAAAATAAAAATAAAATTTAAGTAAAACAACCAAGAAACAAGTGCAACTATCTGGAGCGCGTGGGCTCCGTCGGACTTGCCACGCGCAGTCAATCATAAATCACCAACAGCGCGGTGCTCGCTATTCCTAACACCCTAACCGCTAATTAATGTTTTGTATTTTTAACCAGCTGCAGATTTACGAGCTGCAGATCTGGAGAACGCAGCTTACGAAACCCAGTTCTCGCTGTAAAAACGTCTTTTCGCGGCAGCAGTTTAACCGCACTGATTTACGATGTTATGATTGGCCGGAATTTCGCGCGCGCTCGCTTTTGATCTGAGCAACTTGTTCGGACGCTGGAACGTGCTCCGGAAATTTGCGTTTTAATACGATTTGATAACGGGCAGGTTTCCGTACGGTTACCAACCGGACGTAGTTTTCTTGGTGTGTAAATAGGGGCTCCTACACTGCCCTGGCAAGGAAAAATGCCGTATGAACATTCAGGCGCTGCCAAATTTCCTTCGATAAAACACACATTTCCTGGTAAACCAATACACGGAGAAAAAACTTCGTGCGTGGGACCCGAAGTTGAGGTCATATGGATCTCTGAAGTTTTCAGATCACGTATCTAAAAACTTGAGGTCCAGCTGCCGAAGTTCGGGTCAGACATCTGAAGTACTCCACTATATACCGAAGTGCCTCGATGTCTGACCCGAACTTCGGCAGCTGGACCTCAAGTTTTTAGATACGTGATCCGAAAACTTCAGAGATCCATATGACCTCAACTTCGGGTCCCACGCACGAAGTTTCTTGCGCCGTGTGAATATATATCTTCCAATTGTTCAGATAATTGTGTTCGCTATTTCCCCTAAAACATGTTCCAAAACATAGCAAATGGGAATGTCGCCTAAGAGAGGTTGAATCTTAGCGTAAAGGTGATGGAACTGACTCTGAGTTTGTTGGAAGTAGGAAGTGAACCTTACCTGAACGTTTTTGGAATACAAATTGTTTGAATGCAGGTACATGGCAGAGAAATTCCTCATCCTATCAAATTCGAAGACCATCTCCAGAGGACGCCCAGCATTGCCAGTGGAGTCGTTTCGCCAGCCAACCCACTCGTAACCTGAAAGAAACAAGAAAATTAGTCATAAATATATCAAAGGAATAGGGAAACACCTAAATAAAATTCAATGAAATTTTGACGATAAGCAACAACAGACAAATTTATCACAACGATAAAAATTTCATGGCAAATAGGAAACTTTTGCCTTGGACAATTGAACTGCGTATTACATTAAGGAACCAAGTTAACTTAATCAGCCATGACCAAATTTCATGGCACAATTAATTTTCTTCAGGAGGACGGTTATACATATAGAATATTTTGAAAATATCAGAGAATTTCTCTCACGGCACAGAAAAAATTCCCTGATATTTTTAAAAAAAATGCGCATTCTCTTATGAAAAAATAAATCGTCCGATGAAATTTGGTCATGGCTGACGTGACTTGGCTTATTCTTCTTTAATGCGTTCCAACTAATATTATACGATAAAGCACGAGAACATAGCCCAAATATACGAATTAATAAAAAGGTATTAGAACATGGGTAAACAAGGCTTGTTTACCCATGTTTTAACACCCTTTTTATTTATACAAATATTTTACTGGATGCAAGAAGTAGCTTCCTTGTTTCAACGAAAAGCTGCCATGAAAACGGGTTTCTTGGCCTCAATGAATCCGATTTTTCTCAGTGTGGAAGCATTCAAGCTAAATAATAACATCACACGGAATAAAAATTCCGGCCATGGAAGCCGTACTTACAAGCTGTATAGACATAACGTCCGCGTTCTGGGCTCGGAGGCCGAAAGTTCCATGCGTAGCATCCGAAGCAGTCGAAGTTACGGCTCCAGCACCCGGAACTCTCGGGCTCAGAGCCCGGAATGGACGATATGTCTATTTAGCCCGTAACTTTTTTCATTGCACTAAATCAGTCATCGGCGAATTGCGAGCTATTACACTTGCCCGGGTGCGATGAACAAGAGCCAGCCGTAAATAATAACAATAATCGCGTCGGAAAGGACCGTGACTCATAAGCGGGTACTCGGGGAGTCGTGAAAGTACGGCACGTAATTGAGGGGGTGGGTCGGCGGGGGCGGGGGTGCGGTGGTGTGTGGTGGTCCGCGCCTTCTGATTGATCCGACCAATTAGAACTGATTGGTCAAGTGCATGCAAACTGTCAAGCGAAAGCCCTCTCTCGGAACCGCGGTCAACCGCCGCCGCCCCTGCCAAGTGGTGCGAATAAATGATCAACCACGGGTATCGTCCGGACAGGGTTTAGGGGTCATCCCTAAATTACGTACTAAATTTAGATTTTTTGACATTGTCGTCCCCTTTGATGCGCCATAACGCCGTACTAGACTCCACCGTTAAATTATCTGGCGCTGACTCTGCAGACACAAAAATGTTGAAAAAATCCCTTCGAATATAATGAATCGTTTGGACTCGCTTCACTATGATGCTCAGAGCATATTTTTCAAGTTCACCGAAAAGTATTGCAGCTGATAAAATGTGTCATGCAAAATGTGTAAAAAGTAGTCATGCAGTTTTTCACTGAACTTTCATGAAGAACAAACAGTGTGTGCTCGACCACAAACTCTGTGATTCATCACATTCCGTGGATGATAATTTTGTCAAAGCACTGAATAATCAAAGTAGTTGGAGATGGCGGCCGAAAATATTTAGAAAAACTGTGAGAAATCGCACTAAATTAGTACTTAAACCCAATAAGCGTAATACCTCCAACCACCCTACAAAGCCCCATAACGCTACAATAACTCTTTGGCTAGACCCGCTGGAATGTAAAAAATAATAATGTATGGGACACACTTGGAATCGTTATTTATAACAAGTGCAAGTGAGTCTCATACATTATTATTTTTTACATATTGAACCTTTGTTGACTTCATAAGTGTTTCTACTAGCTGAAATGTAATGTAGAATTAGACGCTTTTCAAGACGAAACCTAGACTTTAGCTCTTGTAGACAAGTAGATGACTATTCGCTCATGACAGTAGTGCTTCTTGCCTAGCTGCAAACTGAAGGCGTCTCCCTTTATCCTTCATAATCGGTGATAATCATTGTCAGTCAAGTTTAAAAATTTTCAACAAGTGACACGAGTATTTAAACAAAATTGATGGAAAACGTTTATATGGGTTTGTGTTGGTAGCCGAGTAGTAGAAATAAAGCAAAAAAATGTTTTAAAAAAAAAACACTTACATTTTATTAATAAAGTACCGAAGCTTTTCGAGGCGGACGCCTCACACATTGCTTGACAATGTTCGCTGACTTTGAAAACGTTTAGTTCAAAAATCAAAGCTGTTAAAATTTACAGGTTTTCTCTGCAGGATGAAACAAGTTTTGCAATCCGCAACAGCACTGCCGTTTTGTCACCCTGTGCTTTCCAAATGTAATTTTAATTATTCACCACGTTAATGCATTCTATGAATTTTTTCGTCCTTAATTTTTTCAATTTCAGTTAAAACCAGGGACGGATTTACCTACTTGCCGCCCATGGACCGCCTGTATTTTGCCGCCCCCTTTTCATTCGTTTTGAAACATCAATTAAAACCATCAAGTGAACGTGCCGGAGGGGGGGGGGTGCATAAGACGCATTAATTCGTGTTGGGCACATTTTTTGTGAAAGCCGTGTCAACGCTAGCAAAATTTCACGGAATTTTGCTCGGAGGTTAAGTTCCGTACACTTATTTCTCTGTGGATCAGGCCATCCATTTAAAAGAAATGAACGAAAAAATTATGAAAAAATAAACATAAATTTGATTTAATAATTTTAACCTCCGCCGCCGCGACGCGCTGAACGCACTGTGTTTGATGCAATCCGTGAAGTATTCATGCAGTCTTGTAGGCGCTATATGCGTTTCTCGCCAACCGCTGCTGACCGCACTACGTTTGACGGAATGCGTGAAGTATCCATGCAGTCTTGTAGGCGCTATGCGTTTCACGCCGACGGCTGCTGACCGCACTGTGTTTGACGCAGCAATGCGTGAAGTATTCATGCAGTCTTGTAGGCGCTAATATGTGTTACATGCCGACCGCTGCGCCGAGGGTTTCTTCTTTTCATCTTAGAGTCTTCGTCATCATTGCTCTCGGCGCCGCGACACTCCTGGTCAAATTGCGTGTTTGGTTTCTCTTTAAATCGACTAATTAAAGGTGTTATCTCTTGTATCACGTAAAGACGACAAAATTAGAAATTACTATACTCTCTAGAGATGAGAGATTTTGTCGCCGTTTACATTTTTCTGAGTCCGATTTTTTTTATACCTATATTTTAAAAAATTGCAAAATTTGCCGCCCCCTAAATTTACCGCAATGAGCCGCGGCCCATGTGCATGGCTACCATCTAAATCCGGCCCTGGTAAAAACTCATTTGAATTCGGTAGTTTCGCGTACAAGACTGATAAAACTGAGGTGAAAGGGCCGTGTTACATTGACTGACATCTAGTAGCTGTCTGGTTAACACTGCTAAAAATCTATTGTCGGTCAACACGAGCATGTATGGTTAGACATTCCCTTTATGCTATTCGCTTTTTTGGATCATGCACGTTTGAGCGAGGATTGACAACAGTGTTTCGTGAGCAGTAACTTTGGTCAATGGTCTTTGTTGTGGTCAATCATGCTGATCGCCTGACAGTCCACACCATAACGAAAGCTTGCATAGTTTCGATGAATTGCACAGTACACACTTAGATGAACTCGTGACTTGATGTGGGAATGCAATCATTCCCCTTTGAGTCCTTTGTCTTTGACAAGTTAGCGTACGCCCCTTCTTCCCGGAATTCAAAAAGTTCTCGGACCGTGTTGGTCTCGATTCTCTCCAAGTTTTCAAAGTAGGGCAAGGGAGTGATGGTGAAAGTGATGCCTTTTAAAGGACCGATTGATTCGCAAAGTTTTGGAAAAGATACGATGACCATCCTTTGTTCATTATTTATTACGTCTTACACTTCTTCCTTGCCAAGCGTCCCATAGTGGATCGAGTCAATTAGAAAGGCCGGACATGAAATTTTTTACTAAAACTGCAAAATTAGATGTTAATTCCACCATAGTTAAGTATTAGGGGCTGCTTCTGGAAGAAAATTCCATGAGGAAACCAATGGAACCACTTTTAAAACCTCAGTAATGAGCTTTTAAAATTTCCAAATTTTGTCCGACAGCTCCCATTATCTCGATCCACTGTGCGCCCCTGGATTTCCGTCCTCCAAGCAATCAAGGTAGCTAGAGTGTAACTCTATCCTTTGCATAGTTTTTGAAAAAAAAACTGAGGAAAAGTTCGATTTTAGGGTGTAATTTTTCTCTCCCAAAATTTCCAGATTGTGATGCACACTCATTCACTATTCTGGCCTAAAAATGTAGCAAGCCACCCACACCCGCAATCTATTCCTTCGAACACTAGATTGAGTTTTTCATGGAAATTTCTTCATCAGCTTCCTCGACTGAACAAGGGAAAAAAGAAAATTGTATTAATAATTGTGAGCAGATCTGTGAAAACTAAGGGATCTTATCTTCCAGGTGAAATTTTTTAACTTTTTGTGAATGCACGGACGAGGAAAATCTTCGAAAGTTTGGGACAGATTTGAGCCCCTAAGCTCAAAAATTGAAAGAGATGCGAGTCCTGAAGCTTCAAAACCAAAATTCATACGTTGTAGAAAAATTTGGTACCAGTTTTTGAGAAAAGCTGAAGAAAATTTTTCTCCCGGAGGATAAGGCACCTTTTCCCAGATCCGGTCGCAATTTCGCCTCCGTAGATTAAAGACCGTTTCTCCGAAGACGGTAACATCGTTGTTTTAAAGTAAACCATCGTAAATTCTGTTAATAACTATTGAATTTGAATACAGAGAAAAGGCTTCGCGGGCGACATTTTACTGAGAAAAAGCACTCAAGTTGTGCAGATCCATTCCCCGAAAAAGACGCAAACAACGAAGGCATTCCACAAATATTCCACCTCGGACTAATGAAAAACTTTCTTCTAAATCCAAGTTCAGAGCCCCCGGGGGAGCATCGACTGCCCGCACGCAAAGTTCGGAGCTTTAAAGTTTAACCATTACGCG